ACTTTGCACTTTTATTAAGAAACAGCCTTCTGCCCTAGCCGGTTTGGCTCAGCGGATAGAGCGTCGGCCTGCGGACTGAAGGGTCCCGGGTTAGATTCTGGTCAAGGGCATGTACCTTGGTTGTGGGCAAATATATTTAAAAAAAAAAAAAAAAAGAAACAGCCTTCTCTGGATCCCTCAGCAATCCCAAGAATGATAAATGGCGGTCACGTGACGGCACGCAGACGCAAGCGCACCTGCTTTAATTAATTTTCTGGGCTGTATTTTCTAGCACCTACTTCATGTGACGTCGCCACGCCTGGAATGTCTACAACTAATAACTATCCCAGTCAAGGCAGAGGCACCGGCTGACATGCCGGTCGGTCCTCCAGAATCAGTGACACGAAGGAGCACAGAGTCAGTGCAGACGGGCAAGACCAGCAAGAGCCACCCGTGGCCCCAAACCCCAGGGGAGGGTCTAACTGTGAACCCCGGAGGAAAGCTGAGCTGCATTTGATTGTGGCCTGGTCTGCTTTGGAGTGGCCCCGGGAAGCCGCGGGGGTGACATCCCCCTGGTGGAAACCCCGGGGCCCCCTGCAGTGTGCCAAGGGCAGGGCATTTGCTCTCCCCGGGGTGCGTCTGGCAGGGAAGACACCAGAATCCTCACACTCAGCAAAAGGGAAAAGGGCCCTGCCCCAGGTCCAGAGACTCCATCCGACTTTTAACGCCAGACACGGACACTCATGGCTCATCCACTGTCCTCTCCCTTCCCCGCGTTACTCTGGGCCATCGCGCACAACGGCCGGTCCGGGCAGCAGGTTACCGTGAGAGATGGAATCCAAGCCGGTGGGCACTTCCTGGAGCGCTTGCTTTTCATTCAGGGAGGGGAAAATGGCAAACAGGGACCCATCGAAGGTGTCGAAGGCCGGCTGGCGCTGCAGAAGGGACAGGAAGGAAATGGGAACTATAATACTTACTTACTGAGTTACCTGTTTTCAACGCGGTCCGTGGGTCATCGGTCCCCACGCCCGGATCAAACCGGCCATTGTGAAGCCACACCTGGAGTGGACCCGCCGTACCCAGACGGCTCGGATGGCCCAGGTGACCACAAGGTCATTTAACCCCCCTCACACAGAGGCAGAATGACCGGGAGTTTATTCCTAAGGGCCTAAACCACTGAAATTCATAAATGAAGACAAGACACCCAGAAACGCTGGGATCCCAGAAGAACAGTGCGGGGCGGGGCCTCAGAGCCCACCTGCTCCGGCACCTGCCTTTTGTGACATCATCGGAGAGAAATGCCGTCAAGGCCCCGTGTCTAAGGGAACGGAGCCTGGCAAGGCCCGCGGTGAACACCAAAGGCAAACGATGGACTGAACACTGAAAACCAAACAATGAAGATCCGCGGAAGCCCTTACTTTGAAATGTTTACAATGAAACACTGTCACTGACATGAGGTGCTTTTTCCCTCAACAATCCCAATGGCGCAGAAAAGAGTGAAACACGCGAAAGTTCCTGCAGGTGCACTGTTCGCAAAGTGACGCACCTTAAAAAGAACTTCCCTGCCCCCCACTCCTCGACGGGGAAAGATTCCAAAGGACTGGGGTTTAACGTTAAACTCCCCACAGGGGAGGGGGAAGGAGAGGAGAGAGGCACCCAGAGAACTGCACACTGTCCGTTTCTGACCTTCTCATCTCAGACGCATCCGAGAAACAGCCTTTCATATTAAGGCTCGCTAATAAGTAACAGATAAGGTCTTGATTCATCATTGCCCAACCAGTCAAGAAAAAAATGTGAAGAAAGAGTCTACTTTTCCAACAGGGGCTGGAACTCCCATGTTGCGTGTCATGTGATGACACGTGTTGAGTCATCACTAAGAAAATGTGTAACACATTTACAAATAAAATCAGTTCGTGTGCTTTCGTTTTAGAAACGCAGAACAATGGATGACGCATTACCCCAGTGGGCGGGCAGAGGTTGGAGCTGGCCCCAGACACTCAGTGGAGCCCAGTCCCCACAAAACCCAAGGCTGTGAAGTCCAACAGATGTCCCAGGACATCGAGGGCACAACCCATCATCTAGGACAGTGGTCGGCAGACTGCGGCTCTCGAGCCACATGCGGCTCTTTGGCCCCTTGAGTGTGGCTCTTCCACAAAACACTGACTTCTGCGCATGGGCCGGAAGAGCCACACTCAAGGGGCCAAAGAGCCGCGGTTTGCCGACCATGGAGCTAGTAGATGAACAAACTACTTTATCATTTGGGACTAACTGTGCGTAGTATAGCGAGGTTGGAGCTGGCCCCAGACACTCAGTGGAGCCCAGTACCAAAACCAAAACCCAAGGCTGTGAAGTCCAACAGATGTCCCAGGACATCGAGGGCACAACCCATCATCTAGGACAGTGGTCGGCAGACTGCGGCTCTCGAGCCACATGCGGCCCCTTGAGTGTGACTCTTCCACAAAATACCACGTGCAGGCGCGCGTGTACAGTGCGATTGAAACTTCGTGGCCCATGCGCAGAAGTCGGTATTTTGTGGAAGAGCCAACACGTGGGATGTTGTGGAAGAGCCACACTCAAGGGGCCAAAGAGCCGCGGTTTGCCGACCATGGAGCTAGTAGATGAACAAACTACTTTATCATTTGGGACTAACTGTGCGTAGTATAGCCAATCAACTTTTTTTTTTTTTTTTTTAACCCTATGGGCAGGCTGAGAGGCATTCCATCCAAGGCTCTGTGTGGGATGGTTGATCTTGAGCCTGCAGGGAGCTAGCGGGCTCCAGACTTCTCCAAGTCCACATTGCTTTGCCTCCAGTTCTTACGTGTCCAAAGACAGGGAACCACAGACACGCCTTTGTAGGAGGGTCCAATTGACTTTTAAACCCCCCGGAGCTCTGCCCAGGTGACTAAGAAATGCCTTCGCTTCACTGACAGCAAGTTCTTTTTTTTAAAATGAGGAAGTTCAAAGACAACATAAGTTCACGCTGCCTCTTTCAACACATCAACTCCGGTGACTGCTTCTCCAAACCCAGGAGTCGCAGGGACACCATCAAAGTCTTTGAATTTACAGGGAAGTTTCTTTTCTGGGGCTGTGCCTGGCAGCTTGGTGCCATCACAGCTTGTCCACGTCCGCACACTCTGGAAACGTCTGACCACACCGGCAGGGAGCGCCCGCCTGAAGTGGGGGGATGGCCGCCGTAATTCTCAAGAGAGGCCCGAGCCCAGTGTTGGCTCTTTGGGGTCCACAGACAAACAACCTCCCAGCGACCTCCAGAGCAACATGGGACCTGCCAGAGACACGCATTTGTACAAAACCCTGAGCTCAGAGGAGGCCGATCGAAAACCACTGCTCCCGAGATGTGTTTACTCACAAAACCAACAACAGGCCACGCTCTCACGGATGGAGAAGCCGGCAGGGAATTACCCACTGCGCTGCCACAGAACGTTCCCAAGAGGAATTAAGACAGAAGCCCAGGAAATGTGCTTGCTGGGTAGCAAAGGCGGCGTTCATCCTTAATCTGTTTCTTGGTTCACAGATACAGGCTGTCCCGTGGGCTCGGCGGCCTCAAGGAAGCAGCACTCCCTCCACGTCGGAAGCAGCCTTCCCCTCGTCCTGGGAAACCAGCTCCAGCTCCGTTCCACGGAGAACCACAGGCTTATCCACCGGGTCGGAGTCTCAGAAACAAACTACCAGGGCCTCACCTTCTACAAAACAAACGAGTTCCACTCTTGGAGGACAAGTAGAGCCCGCATCAGGACGCCCATTTTACAGGTTAGAAAACTGAGGCCCGGAGAGATTCAGCAAACGGTCCAGCCACACAGCCAGTAAGTGAAAAGCTGGGGCTTAGAACGGGTCTTCTGGGGCCCCACCCATCGTTGTTGTTTTTTTCTTTTCTCCTAGAGATTAAGCTTTCCAAATTAAAAAAGCAAAAACCCAACTTTTAGTAAGACTTGCTCACTCACCTTGAGTGTCCCTCTGTAACTGTTAGACACAGGGGCCACCTGGTCCATGTTCTTGATTCCAAAATCATTCATCTTTAAAAAAAAAAGAGGAAGAGGAGAATAGTCAGAGGCAAGCGCTCCTTTTTTAAGGAGTCTTCACTGGCTGCAGACCCCCTCCCCACTCCTGGAGTCAGTCAAATCCTACAACTGTAAAACCATTCAGTAACATAAATCATTCAGTAACATCGTTCACAACCAAATGCCAGGGGTTCTTATTTAAAAGGCCCTTCTCACCAAGGCTATGCCATTTATGTCACTTAATAATAATGCTGATTCCCACTGAATTCCACTTAGAGATGGGGCACCTACTATGGCACCTACTAAGGCACTTTCTGGCTGGTTGCTCAGAGCCTCCCAAGGCAGCCTGTGTCCCTCCACGGGAGGGGCTGCTGTTCGGGGGGGTGGTGGTGGAGGGGGACCCAGAGGGTTCTAGGGGACCAGGGCTACCTCCTGTCTGCAAGAGGGGGATCCTCAGGGTTGGGGATCCTCAAGGGTGACCCCCAGGCAGCTCCAGGAAAGCATGCTGGGTGGGCCGGAAGGCCCCTTCCTCTCATTGGAGGAATTTCTGGCCCAGGAAGATCAAAGGGAGACCCGTGGCTTCAGACCAAACCCTCTCTCGGGGTCCCACCTCCTCCCCAGATCCTCCGGGTCCCAGGTCCTCCCGTGTTAAATGCACGGCTCCGAACACGTTAGCTCTGTGAGTCCCTCAGAGGAGATTCTAAGCGCAGACCTGTCTTACTTGCCCTGATAGCATCTGGGCTTATGCTAGGCCTGCGCTGCCCGGGGTGGTGGCCGCCGGCCACGTGTGGCGGCCGGGCGCCTGGCACATGGCTGATCCGGCCTGAGATGCGCTCTGCATGAAAAATACACATGCAGGTTTCAAAGATCTCACAGATAAAAGTGAGCATCTCAGTAATAATGTTAGGTTTACGGCATGTGTATGTAACAGCCTGCATATACTCGGTGAATGGAAATCTACTGAAATCAACTTCACCTATTTTATATATTTAACGTGATTATGACCGCATTTATAGCTACATATGTGACTTGCAACCGAACCTTGCTGAGATAGGCCGAGAACTTATTTGGGGCCCTAAAATGGAAGTGGTTGGTTATATATTAGTAAGTGAGAAGGGCACATAGATAATGCCACCAGGATGCTAGAGAAAAAACCCCAGAGAAATGAAAATGAAAATCCATTTTCAAATAAGCTGGGTTAGCACTGCTGATCGTAACCTTTACCCTACTGGCTTTCTGGCCACGGAACTGAAGGCTTAGCAGGCAGCTTTAGGGGTTGGCTAATTGCACCCTCCCGCCCCGCCCCATCTCCACTGGGTGTTCCCGCCTGTTACAACTAAGACCTTCGAGTAATTAAAATATTGCTTAAAATATTGCGCAACTGATAGCACTGACTGGAGGTGGCAAATAGCATATTTTCCCCTAATTGGTTTTTTTATGCTTTCTTGTTTTTTCTTTATGACCAATGTTATAGCTAAACCAGACCTCCCAACGACTCAAAACACACACACACACACACACACACACACACACACACACACCCCTACCTCCTGGCTGGAAAGGCAGCGTGGGAGGTGTATCTGCTTCAGGGGAGGCCAGAGGCACTGCCCAGGGCTGTTAAACCCTCTGAGTGCCGGTAATTAGGGGGGGGGCCGTAATTATCCTGGGGGGGCCAGAGGAGCCTGGAGCACTGGGAATAATAATAGTGCTGTGGGGGGGAGGGCCAGGGTGGGGAAGGGCTGTCCTGGATCAAACGCCGCCACATTTGCTCAACCTCCACTTAGTGAGCCGTGTCACCCACATGCACTCAGGAATCGATATTCATGCGACGGTGGCTGCACTGATAAGACTCCTCCTCGTTCAGGGCTGGGCCTGATGTCCCTGAGGGTGGCTGTGACACAGTGCGGCCCAGAGACCTCCGGGAACTTGCCCAGGATCACACAGCTCCGGTGGGGGCTCCGCAGGGGCGCAGTGCGGACCACATGGCAGTGGAGAGTGGCCCTCAGTCCTGGGCGCCTCCATGTGCCAGGGTAGCCCACCGCGTCCTACAGGTCGGACAGCGCACAGATGTCATGAGACCGGGCCCCTGTGTGCTACTCTTTAAGGTGAAAGGCTCGTTAATTCAGAGCTTTCTGTCACTTATCTGAATGTAAACCTGTGATACAGACACAAGCCTCAAGCAGAAGACCAAACTGCCGACGACCCACCCAGGCCCACGCCTTTTCCACGGCTGGTTCGCAGCCGCTTGGTGACTTGGAAAATGGGAGACTACGTTCCCACCTTCACTGAGACAGAGAATGGATGTGGAAGGGGCGATGGATGGAAAGCCGGGCGGGGGTTTTTGTGTACAAATACTTGGGGGGAAAGGCAGTCTACCCCGCCCACATGAAGAGCAGTAATTACTCCTTACAGAACAGAATTCTTTTGTTGTCCGGCTTTTAATTTGTTTTGTAAGAACCATGCAGAACCAAAGTGGATTCAGGCAGACACAGAACTAATCAAATTTAAGTTCACTTCTTTTACTCAACATGGCTCCTTAAGGTGGCAGGCAGGCCAGGAGTCCTTCCCATATAAATCAATTTCAAGTGTGGGTCCCTTTGGTGTTGCCCTTTGGACCGCTGCTTGGGGGGTGGGGGGGTAGAGAGGGGGAGAGAGGAAGGAAGGGAGGGAGAAAAGGGGAAAAGAGGCAGAAAAGTAAGTGCTGAGGATGGTTAAATTTTTTAAACAAGCAGAACTTGCCTGACAACCGTACCCTTCTTGGAACAAGCGATCACTTATGTGAGATTAGACCACAGGTTTGTATTCAGGCAAATTTGTTAAGAAAAAGAAAGGAGGACCCCCCCCCCAATGTACTTTTTGAAGGTTGGTGTGCTTTTTCCTTTGAAAGTTATCACTTTAGCGAGAGGAATGACTAATCCCAACGATGAGTGTTGGCTATTCCCTGCAGGACCCACGGTGCTAGCATTTACTGTACTATGATATTACTCAGAATTTTAATAAACCTTAACTTGGAGATTTATCTGCCTGATGGGTGGTGGTGTGGGCAGGCAGATGGCGCACAGGCGCTGCCATTGTCCGGAACACATATAATCTCTAAGTGGTGAATGACAATAAATTACCCTGATCTCCAAGGGGCACTGCTCACTGCTTCACTTTCTATTAAGGAGCGCGTTCAGTTTTTAGGCTACCTTGAAACGGAATACAGGCCAATATAAAAAGTGCCTTATGCTTAAAAAACAAACACACACACACAAAACAACCCTCAAGTGCACAAGCGCTCGCTGATACCTGCATTCAAAAGACGTTAACAGCGAGAAAACACAGACAGCCCTGCGCACCACGTCCCCACTTCCCACAGCTCTCGGCGCTCGCCTCGCAGGGCCGAGGGGCCCCATCCACGCCCGGGCGCCCTCAGGGGTCTTGCCCT